TATCTTGAAGTCAATTCTCGAAAGTCGTTTTCCCGAAATAGAACAGCTATCGGCTGAGCAAAGCAACGCTTTGTTTGGTCTGTTAAACCGAGAAGATGTCTTCGCCGTTTTGCCAACCGGCCATGGCAAGTCAATCATATTCCAACTACTGTTCGACTTCTGTAAGGAACTTTATCTCAGAGGGTTTCCTTACCCAAGGAACGCCATCGTCTTGGTGATTTGTCCGCTAAATTCGCTGGTGGAGTCTCATATCCGAGAGTTGAATTCCCGAGGCATGACAGCAAGCAGTTTAACAGGAGATATTGATGAATCGAAAATACTGCGTGGTCAATATTCTTATCTCTTCGCAAGCCCCGAGTCTGTCCTCCAAAATGAAAAATGGAGGAAAATGCTTGAAAGTGAGGTCTATCAAAGAAATGTGTTCGCTGTTGTCACCGATGAAGCGCACGTGGTGCCAAAATGGTAAGCTCAACTGATATGACCCATCTTCGTGATGATAAACTTTGACAATCGATTACATGTAACTGTGACATTAGTACTTAGGGACCTAAAATTACGGCTTTCGTATATTTAATCTTGAGAACACAGGGGAGGATAGTTCTGATCATAGAGTAACAGTCACAAAGAAGAAGCAATGATTCGATAAAAGGTTTCTTGGCGTAAACCTTGTAAAAGATAGAGCTAAAATATTCCTACATGACGTTGTAACCACAGTTCCGAAACATTTGTGAATTAYAAAAATTGAAAAAAGCTTTAGATCCCAACAAGAAATCAGCTCAAACTGAAGTGTTTTTAGATCGGTCACTTGTTGCACAAATTGTAAATGTCTGCATTTATGCTCAATCATTGGTTATATTTTTTCCAGGGGATTCAGCAGCCAAAAACAGAAATCGAGTAAAAAGGAGTATGTTGCTGCTTTCCGTGAGTGTTTCTCAAGACTTGGGGAACTTAGATCTCTGCTCAGCCAGAAGCCACTGGTCCCCGTCCTTGCGCTGACAGCCACAGCAAACACAAAGACAAGGAAGGACATAAAAGAATCCCTCTGTATTCGAAAAAATTGCATTGAAATTTTTCTTAGTCCAAATAGAGAGAATATCTACCTCAACATTGCTAAGGTGAATTCAAACATTGGAAATTCTTTCGAATTGCTTCTAAAGGAGATTCATGAGAAAAATGTAACACTGGACAAAACTATTGTTTACTGCAAATCGATAAAGGACTGTGGCCGCTTGTTCATGCATTTTAAACAGGAACTTGGAAAGGATGCTTACGCTCATGATTGTGAAGCTTTGCCACAACATTTGATTATTTCCATGTTTCACCATTCTACACTGGCAAAGAACCAGATAAGAACATTAGAGTCCTTCCATGATGAGAATGGCACATGTAGACTGGTGTTTGCTACTAATGCCCTTGGGATGGGAGTCAACTTTCCCAACATAAGGAGAATAATTCATTATGGCCCACCAAGGGAAATGGAGGAACTCGTTCAGCAGATTGGTCGTGGAGGTAGAGATGGTAAGCCTGCTGTTGCTTTAATTATGTACACTGGGCATCATCTGAAAAACTGTGATCAGTCAGTTAAAGACATGTGCAAATCCACATCAGGATGTTTGAGGAAACTTTTACTGGCTGATTTTGGGGTTGAAGAGTTCCCCAACTACCAAAGCCATGAATGCTGTATCAACTGTCACAAAACATGTTTATGTTTAGAGGAATTGTGTAGTATCCCTTTGCCTGAAGTGTCACTTCCAGATTGTAAATCCAAAGCACCACAGAAGACCAGGAACATTACAGCACAACAAGAAGAGCTGTTGCGAGAACTCCTAAAAGACAATGTCTTGGAACTTTCTTTGGGTCTCATTGACTTCTTAGGCATAGATGGCACTGCTTTATTCACCGATATATTGGTGAAGAAAGTTCTAAAACATGCAAAATTTATTTTCAATAAAGCCTACATACTTGAAAATCTTCCTGTGTTCAAGAACCAACATGCCATGGACATATTATGTATGGTGAATGATGTGTTTGAAGACATCAATGAACAGGAAATTGATATTAGCCAGTGTTCTTCATCAGAGGTTGACTTTACCTGTTCTGATKTGGAACTTTACATCTGTGAAGAGTTACTTGAAGAATACAGTGAAAGTGAGGCTGATTGTACAGATGATGAAGAACTGTCTAGCAACTGGTGAGCGATAATAAACACATGTAAGCATTTAAAAGTATSTATGTACTGAGACTGGTACCTGTTCCACCAAAAAATGGAATAAATGATGTGCAATGAGCCCTGATCACATAATATTGTTTTTGACACAACAGCATGTTTGACTGTTTATTGGATTTTTCACATTTGTTTTTATATTTTGAACATGTACTAGTAACTACCGGTAATAATATTGATGTATAGTTCCTCCACCTTTAGAGACCTTTGACATTCGATCTAAAGGTGGAGGGACCATACATCAATATTATTAACTATTGGTTATGCATTCCTTTCTTTTCATGTTGGTATATCTTTTCTGATATTTCCCCCACAAATATCAAAAAGCTGCTTGCTTAAAATAATGGCTAGACATCAGACAATACTCAGCAGTGGAATTTGTCTGGTCAGATCTTTGCCTTGCGAATTATCTTGAGCAGTAAAGAAACAAGGCGACATACTAGCCATTATTTTATGCCCTAAGTGAAAAAAAGAATTTTGCAAATGTTTACCAAGAAAATTAAAGGTACTTTGCAGTATTTTGAACTTAACACAAATGTCATTTGACATATTTAACTAAAACCTAGCTTTATAAAGTTTTCTTTGACACTTTGCTGCACAAAGTAAAAGTTAAAGTTCACATATCAAATTTATTCAACCAAAAATTTATCAATTGAAAGTAAACTGCTATCTTGTATGTCTGGATTCTCTTTAGTCCTTTTTCTTTGGGAAGGGGGGTGGGGGGTTGAGATTGCATAAATATTGAGTCATGAAAAATATGCAAAAAAGTGAAACCAGACTCCCCTGAAAATTTCGAATAATTCCTCAAAAAAATAACAAGCAAGACTGCTATTTTCATTTTTCCTGCATTAAAGCTGGAGTTTAGAATCCTTGTTTGGCCCATTTTTTCTTGTGCTGATTAAACCATGAATTCAGCTTGTCATATTCCAAAGTTGAGAGTATACTTCTTTTAAAGTGCRGAAAGGCTGCATGTTGTCTTCCTTCTTCAGCTTTATCAACAAAGACCTCTGCTCTTGTGTGCAACTCATTCACAATTGTTTGAAAGTCTGATTGAGAGCGTGTCACAGTGTGCTTCCCAGATGGTCTTCTAACAGTTAGCTCTGCATCTATAGAAGACAGCAAATCCTCAACAGGCTTAACTGCTCTGCTGCAGCGTAAGGCAGGAGTTTGGTTGAGGTTGGCACCAAGATTACTCAGCATTTCTTTCTGGARATGTACAATATGTTCCATCCTCAGATCCATAGAAATATTGTTACCAGCTCCACCTTTGTTGTTCACAGTCCTATTCCATATAAGACTGTGTGCCTTTTCTGAAGATAGCAGAGATTTAGTATTTGCAATCAGTTGTAATGCTGCCAAAGCATACTTTGTGTGGCCATGACCTTTATACAACAGCAACATGTACTTCCAACATCTCACTATTCTTGCACCATCTCCTTCTTTTACTGCATCATTGAAATTAAAAATTAGCATTCCAAGACTTAAACGCACACAAGCATAGTTGTATACATAATCTTCTTTGACTTCTACTTGCTTAGGAGATTCAGCTATTGTCTCAGCAATGTCCACTCCATGTTTGAGTTTCAAATGACTATCTCTTGCTTTCTTATAAACATATGTCTTCCCGCACTTACTGCATGGGAACACTGTTCTTTGTTTTGGCTGGTTTAAAGTGTTTACATGATCAACAATTTTGCTGTATTCTTCTGATTGTTTCTTCATCACATATTTCTCAAGTATGGTTTTTACATGATTGTAGAACCAAAGTTGTTTGTCTTTCGTAGATGCTGTTCTTACAGAATGTGGAACAGCTTCGTCATGTATTGACTTCATGCCAAAGTGAGACATTGTTGCTGCAACTATGTAAGCATTTGTTTCATTGTGAACAAAGTCTTTACAGTAATTAAAGTTATCTTCCACATTATTTGTCTTTGCATTAACATTGTTGGTCACATTCATGTTAGAGCACATTGTTCCTTGATCACTTGCTGATGATTGCTTGTAAAGGATGTCATACAAAATCTGAAAATATAATAACAATTATTGTAATTCTAATTACTGTGATACTAAAACAGACTATTGTTTAAGCCCTAAAGAAAAATAAGATTGGATTTACAAAATGGAGACGGGGGAATGTTAACAATACCATTACCACTCCTTTAACTTTCAC